GCAGGATTAATTCTTTTTCCTCATGCTAGAGCTTTAACTGTCTGGTTTTGAGGATGTTTTGGAGGAGTTTAAAGGCCGACATGAAACTTTTAAAAGTTGCAGATTCTGGAGCCACATTGATTTCTGCACCATGCAGGATAAATAAGTTTCAATAATTCAAGCTTGGTCAAAGGTCTTCCTCCATCCTGAATGAAACTGCAGTCCATCACTAATTTTTTTTTTCAATTTTAGCCTTTTATAGACACATTATGGATTTTTAAAAAATTGTTCCTACATGCATAAGAGTTGTAAGTGATCCCCTGTGGTTTTGATGGCCTGTAAATTACTTTGTGCTTTTCCTCTCTCTGCTCTCAGGGATATACAGGGATTGCAAACAATAGTGAGAGGTGCTGGCAGGCAGATTGGATGACAATTAGGTGGAACCACTGATGGGAGATTCATAACAAGATGATAAATAATATTTTGGGGCAACTGGGAAATAATATTTGTATGAAATCTCTTTCTGGAGGAATCCTCCTGTTGTGTTCAGGGCATTGAAGCACTGGGGGTTTGATTAGGCCTTTGTGTGAACAAGGGAAAAATGCTTTTCTTGGTGCCCAAATTGCAAAATGGGAATTATAACCTCACCTTTGCCTTCTTTGTTTGCTTGAATCAGAAACTCCTGGGGATAGGGACAGCCTGTGGGAGCAGACAGTGCGTAATCTAATGGGCTAATTGCAAAATAAAATAATAATAATAATGGCTGTGTGCTGGCAAGAGCCAGCAGAGCTCGTGGTGATGGTTCAAAGGGATGACACATGCAGTGCCATGCTCAGGTAGAACTTTCCAGAAGTGGTTTGAACTTCACCCTGTGATTCAGAGGAGCCCTGAATTGCAGCTGGTGCTGGGAAGAAGGAAAACAGAAAGAAAACAAAAGGAAAGCAGACGGATCTGTGCCAAAAAAATTCTTCAGAGGGTGAAACAGGGAAACCTCAAAGGTCTCAGTGTGAGCTGTGGGACAGTGCCACTGGTGCAGATCCATTAGCTGCAGTAGTAGCTCAGTTCAGAGAAGAAGAACACGTCCTTTGATGGGCCCTTCATCCCCAGCCCCCCATAAACCACCTGTAGGATGGACCCATAAAGGCTTTTTGAAGAGCCCCTTGCTGTGAACACAAGATCCACGGCAGTTTTCCACTCGCTACCTGACATCCTCTCTTGGTTCCTTCCTGCCTCAGCCCAATTTCTCCCTTAACTGAGCCACCAGCAGCACGTGGAAATCACATTTAGCCTTTCACCTTGGATTATTTTAACACACACGGGGTAAAGCTGAAAGCCAGGCATTGTGAGTTCTCCCTGATCTCTCCAGGAAAGAAATCTCCTGGAGTTCTCCCCAGCATCTCACTGCCCAATACCACCCTGGAAATGCAGATTCCTGTGCCCTGACCCTGCCTGAGCTGCTCCTCTCTGTCCCTGCTGTCCCCAGGCAGTGCCCCCAGCTGTACCAAGCAGCCAGGAGGCAGTGCTGGGATTTTGTGACATGCCTGACAGACTTGTCTGACAACTTGGGAGGTTTGTTTTGCATAAGCCACCCAAACAGATGGTCACCACTTTTTAAGTACCAGCCTGGCTCACAGAGCTGAAATCCCATTTCACTGAATTCCTGCTGGAGCTGTGGCTTTGGGGCAGCAAGCAGAGGTGGCAGAGTTTTGGGGGAAAACTCACAAGGGCTTTAAGGTTACTTCTCCTTCCCATCTCTGGAGGGAGATGATGATTTCATCTCGCTGGCATCTTGGTATTCTCATTCCCACTTACAGAGAAATGTAAGTTAAAAGAGAGTAAATGTAAGTTACAGAGAAATGCTGAGAGTTAAAAGCATTCTCTGGACCTTTTGGAAATGTCCTTTGGCCATTTCTCTCAAGCTCCCAAACCTCTGCTCCATCCACATCCTACCCTTGGTGGCACCACTTGGATTTTACTGGGTTTATTTACATTTTGTTTTTTGTGTGATTTTTAATGCTGAATTATTTGTAGCATTTCCAGCAGGGTGAAGCAGGGGCACTCACTGCTCCTTTAGATGGGATGAGTGGTGCCTGTCCCAGCAGAGAGCTGAGCTGTCACACAGGGAGGGTTATCCTGAACTCAACACAGCTTTACCCACCTGCCTGGCTGCTTTTCCAACAGGCACTTTTTGCATTTAGGGATATTTTGCCCATTTTTCTGGCTTGCTCCCTGTGTTTAACCTTCCCTGCTCTGCTGAATTGTCACACAGGGTTACCTGAACTCAGTATCAATATCAGCTTTACCCACCTGGGTATTGGCTGGATTTCCAGTAAGTCCTTTTTGCATTTAGGGGTATTTTGTCCATTTTTTTGGCTTGCTCCCTGTGTTTAACCTTCTGTGCTTTGTGTGGTGAAGCTCTGAGTGCATTTTAACAAATGCCAGTGCTTTTTGGGCAGGAATGTGACCCATAGACACAGTTCCTGAGTCAGGTAAGAGCAGGGCTGCCTGGCAGCCTTGATGGCACTGTTGTGCAGGTTTCATTCATAGGATCAAGCTGGTTTTTTTTTATTATTGCAGCTCCACCAAAAGATACACATCTTTTCTTCTTCCAACCGAGCTAAGCATGAAGTCACCGCTCTGCCCTGCTCTCCATTTGCATTCACTGTGTCTAAAAGCTGTGCGCTGATCTCAGTAGATAACTGACAGCCAGAAGGAGTGCAAAGCAGCACCCTGGAAAACAGAAATAAGATTTCCTGCATGTGCTGGTGGATCCATGCAATCCCACGAATCCACAAGGAACATATGCCCTTAAACTGCATGTGCCTGTCTATATTTATATATTAAAAAAAAAATAAAAAATAAAACCTGTGACAAGACAGGCTGCAAAACCGTGGAGTTCTGATGGGTGTCAACAACAACCTGAAAACTCAGGGAGATCAAGGAAGCATCCTGATCCCCACCGGCTTCATTTGCATCCCTAAGCTGAGTCCCACCTCAGGAGTCACAGGTCCCTCATTAAGTTATCATTAGTTTGCTGCCTGATTAATTTAAAGCATAAGCACACACAGGGAGGTCACACCAGGGCGTGAATTGGGCAAGAAAACCGAAGCACTTCGGGCTACGGATGGAAATCTACGTCTGTTGCTCCGCTGCTTTTAGGGTGACTTGTACACAGCTTAAAGAAAATCCCCCGGGTATCCGAGCTGAAACAATTTCAGTTTGGGTGGCAAAAAACTGCCTCTCTGGCCATGCCCAGCTTGGGGACGGTGTGGGCGAGCAGCGGGACGGGACCCGGAGTGCCCGGGGGATGCTGCACGGCGGGAGGAGGCAGCGGAGCATCCCCGGGCCGCTCGGAGAGCATCCCCTGCTCTAAGACAGCATCCCCTGCTCCGGGAGAGCATCCTCTGCTCCGGGAGAGCATCCTCTGTTCCAGGACAGCATTCCCTGCTCCAGGACAGCATTCCCTGCTCTGGGAGAGCATTCCCTGCTCTGAGACAGCATTCCCTGCTCCAGGACAGCATTCCCTGCTCCAGGACAGCATTCCCTGCTCTGGGAGAGCATTCCTTACTCCGGGAGAGCATTCCCTGCTCCGGGAGAGCATCCCCTGCTCCAGGAGAGCATTGCCTGCTCCGGGAGAGCATTCCCTGCTCCAGGACAGCATTCCCAGCTCCGGGAGAGCATCTCCTGCTCCAGGAGAGCATCCCCTGCTCTGAGACAGCATTCCCTGCTCCGGGAGAGCATTCCCTGATCCAGGACAGCATTCCCTGCTCCAGGACAGCATTCCCAGCTGTCCGCGCCGTTCCAAGGACATCCCCAGGCCGTATCCCCCGCAGCCCGGGACAGCATCGCGCCGCTGCCCCGGCAGCGCATCCCCCCGGCTCTGGGAGCGCATCCCCCCCGCTGCCGGGAGAGCATCCCCCCGGTGCCGGGAGAGCATTCCCGCTTCCCTGGCTGCTCGGAGGAGGCATCTCCGGGCCGCTGGGGGAGTTATCGCCTCGCAGCCGGCAGAGCACTGCCCGCTGTCCGGGAGAGCATCCGGGAGAGCATCCCCCCGCTCCGGGAACGCATTTCCTTCTCCGGGAGAGCATTCCCTTGCTCCGGCACAGCATCCCCCCGCTCCGGGAACGCATTTCCTTCTCCGGGAGAGCATTCCCTCTGTCCGGCAAGGCATCCCCTGCTCCGGGAGTGCATCCCCCCTCTCCAGGAGCACATCCCTCTCTCCAGGAGTGCATCCCTCTCTCTGGGAGTGCATCCCTCTCTCTGGGAGTGCATCCCTCTCTCTGGGAGTGCATCCCTCTCTCTGGGAGTGCATCCCCCCTCTCCGGCAGCGCATCCCCGCCTCTCCAGGAGTGCATCCCCCTCTCCAGGAGTGCATCCCCCTCTCCAGGAGCACATCCCTCTCTCCCGGAGAGCATTCCCTCTCTCCCGGAGAGCATCCCCTTGCTCCGGCAAAGCATCCCCTGCTCCGGGAGTGCATCCCCCCTCTCCGGGACCGCATCCCCCCTCTCCAGGAGCACATCCCCCTCTCCGGGACCGCATCGCCCCTCTCCAGGAGTGCATCCCCCCTCTCCAGGACCGCATCCCCCTTCTCCAGGAGCACATCCCCCTCTCCGGGACCGCATCCCCCTCTCCGGCACAGCATCCCCCCTCTCCAGGAGCACATCCCCCCCTCCGGCAGAGCATCCCCCCTCTCCAGGAATGCATCCCTCCTCTCCAGGAGCACATCCCTCTCTCTGGGAGTGCATCCCCCCTCTCCGGGACCGCATCCCCCTCTCCGGGAGCGCATCCCCCTCTCCGGGACCGCATCCCCCCTCTCCCCCGGCTGCATCCGCGGTTCCCCGGCGTTCCCTCCCCGCCTCCGGCCGCGCTCCGCTCCGGAGCAGCGCAGCCGAGCGGCGCCCGCCGCTTCTCTCTCTGTCTCTCTCTGTTCTCTGTCTCTCTCTCTGTCTCTCTGTCTCTCTGTCTCTCTCTCTGTCTCTGTCTCCCCCGCTCCTCCAAGCCCCCGCGGGGCAGCGACTCACGCCCGTGCCCGGGGGAAGCCCATGGAGAGCAGGATCTCCAGCGCCGAGCCGTGCCGGATGGTGCCTCCGCGCTGCTGGCGGCCCCGCCGGGGGATGACTTTGCTGTACAGCTCCTCTCTGGCAGCCATGGCGAGCTGAGCCATCAGCGCGCAGCCATCGCCGCCCCAGCAGGGCCATGCACGCCGCGGGCTCGGGGGACAGCGGCGGGGACAGCCACACGGCTCCGCGACACGCCCGCGGCCAGCCAGGGAGGGAGGGATGGAGGGAGGGATGGAGGGAGGGATGGAGGGAGGGATGGAGGGAGGGATGCGGGCAGCGCAGCCGGGATGGATGCCCCCGCCCCGCCGAGCGTGCGTGGGTGGGGGATGCGCGGGAGCGGGCAGGAGAAATAAAAAATAAAAAATAAATAAAAAAAAGCACGTGCACGCGCCTTTTTTTTCTTTTTTGCTGCTTTTTTTTGTTTGTTTGTTTTGCCTTGAGTATGATTGCTGTGTTTATCTATGTATTTTGAGTGGGGTTTTTTTGTTGTTATTGTCTTTATTAGAGATCTGGTTTTATTTATTTGTTTGCTCGTTTGGTTTTGTTCGCTTTGCCTTTATTGTAATTTTTGTGTTTATTTGTTTATTTATATGTACATAAATTCTTTCCTTCTGTCTCTCCTTCTTTCTTTCCTTTTACCCCTCTTTCCTTCCTTCTTTCATTCTTTCTTTCCTTCTTTCTTTCCTTCTTTCTTTCCTTCTTTCCTTTTTTCCTTCATTTTTTACATCTTCCTTCTTTCCTTCCTTCTTTCCTTCCTTCTTTCCTTCCTTCTTTACTTCTTTCCTTCCTCCTTTCCTTCTTTCCTTCTTTCCTTCCTTCATTTTTTACATCTTCCTTCTTTCCTTCCTTCTTTCTTTCCTTCTTTCCTTCCTTCTTTCCTTCCTTCTTTCCTTCTTTCATTCCTTCTTTCTTTCTTCTCTCTTTTTCTCTTACTTCCCTTATTTCATTTTTTTTAGGAAATCCTCCCTGTGATCCCAGCCAAACTCCACAAAGAGCAAAGAAGGGCGCTCAGAACTCTCAAGATCTCCCTTCTGCCACTTCCACTCTCATCCTTTTCCTTTGCTTTTTTATTTTTATTTTTTATTTTTTAATTTTTTTTATTTTTCCCCCGACTTTCCATTTTTCCCACTTTTCCTTTCACTTTTGAGGCCAGGCAGATCCTGCTCCTGCAGGCCCAGTGGAGAGCAGCCTGAAATCCCAACCCTGCCAGCAAATAAAAACCCATGAAGAGGCATTTTTAAAAATAGTTTATGTTGGGGAAGGAAATCAATACTGGCAATGACAAATCTATCACTGCAGTTGTTATTATTCACATTAGGGAAAACCAACAGCCCATTTCCATTTTGTTTTATCAATGAAGGGGAAAAAATTATTCCCCCCACAGTTACCTGCTCGTTCTCCTCCTGTGCCAGTGATTTTCTGTCTCTTTATCCACAGGGAAAAGCCATCCCTGACCCGAGGATGCCACGGAAATTCCAGCTCCAGACAGACACAGCACAAAAAACCAAACCCAAACCAAAAAAAATGCTTCTTGTTCCTCTCTTAACATCACTTTTAACTCCTCTGATGTTGCTGAGGTTCTTTAATTTAACCCATTATTAATTGGCAAGGACTTCATTATAGCCAGAGGGTGAAACCAATCGAGTCGTGGATTTCAGCTGTGAAATCAGGATCAGGCACCCAATCCGCTCCATTTTAATTCAGGAGGAGAATTAAGGGCATTAATAACAATATTTTCTCTTCCATTTTAACACAGGATGAGAATTAAGCGTGTTAATAACAATATTTGTGCTCAGATTTGGATTGCTGGAGCCCCCAGAAGTGTTTGGCACCCATGGATTCATCCACCACAAAGACCCTGGAGGAGAAGATAAAAATCCCAAATTGTGGCAGGGGTCAGGAACCCCCCTGGACAGAGCCCCCAGAGACACTGGCTGTGATCTCTGCCCATGGCAAAGAGTTTTCAATCCTACAGGATGAATTACAAGCTCTAAATGTTTAATATAAATAATAATTAATTGTAGCACGAATACAAAAGTAAAATTTTAAGATTCTAGATTAGGGGTTCAAAAAAAAAAAAAAAACCAAAATAAAAAAAAGAAGTATGTCTCATCCTTTTTCTCCTTCTTCATGCCCTCCATGTTTCACTATAGTGTTAACATGTTTCTATTAATTTAAGCTAAAAACACACTATTCAACATAAATAATAAATATGAACACATTATTATAAATATAACACACATAATTTCTAATATATAATATTTGTAACATCCCACTAAAAAACAAAGCCCCACACGCTGCCCTGCAAAACAAACCTACAGCAGGGCAGCAAAACATGTTATAAATACACAAAAATAAATAAACTTAAAAACCAACGCAAAGAAATGATAACTTCTTTTTTAACAACAAAACAAAAACTTTTTACAATCTCAAAATGATCAATAGCACAAATTCCAAGAGCAAATGAAGCCTGATCCCATCTCCCAGGGCAGTGCAGGGATCTGCAGCCGGCAGCAAATGTTTGCACTTCTCTCCCCGGGCCTCCCTCCTGTGCTCCAGCTGAATTACTCAGGCAGGAAATAACAATAAAAATGAAATTTGCTCTGGAAGCAGCTCCCAGGGACTCTGCCCAGATGGGAATCTCTTTCCTCTGCCCGTGACAGATTCACACAAGAAATTCAAACAGAAATAAATCCACATTAGGGAAGTTGCAATATTGAGGTTTGGTTGGTTGGATGAGCTGCTGCCTCAAACAAGAAGGAGCAGAAATAGGATTTTTTTTTTAAGGTGAGACTGGCTGGAAATTATTTCCCAAGCCTGCCAAGATCATGTCCTTGGAAATTTAATGTCCTTGCATTTGGCTGGCTGGGCTTCTTTACATGGAAACCTTATTTTTTTGGGGAAAAAAAGATTTTTTTTTCAACCCCCAGCTATCAAATGTGTGCCTGGAAATAAAGCTGCCGCCCACCTTTTTCTTTCTTTTCTTTTTTTTTTTTTATTGTAAGCTGAAAATGAAAGCTGTCACAGTGATCAAATGGGGAAAGGGAAGAAAGTAAAAGTAGAAAGCCAAATTTTTAAAAAGGAGAACACCCAGAAAAATGTGTTGCAACCTCCAAAATTAACAATAATTCTAGCGAAATAATCAAAATATACAAAATGATTTGGCTTTGTACGAAAGCTGTGATATTAAAAAGCTGTCAGATTTTCACAGAGAACATTTCTGGTTTGCTTTTTAATTTTTTTTTCCACGTGGCCTTGTGTTGCTGGCCTGATCTCAGATATTTCTATTTATCTTCACCCTTTTCCTGTTGAGTTCAACAACTTTTGGGTGCCCAAAGCCAGAAAAGGGCTGCAAATTCCTGCACCAAGAGCCTTGTCTGGGAAATCCTAAATTTTCCTGAGTGAACTCCAATTCTTTGCCCTTTACCTAGAGGAAATTGCAATTTTAGGGGATTATTTTTATCACTTCCTCTGCTGAAGGCAGAATCGAGGGGGGAGTGTTTGAAAAAGCCAGGCTGGACAGGGAGGGGGCGATTTTTATAGGAAGAGCTCAAGTTTCTGAGGAATTTGAACCAAATTTAGCTTTTTTTTCCCGGCCTGATGCTCCCCCCTGGTGCTGGCATGGGGAGAATATTTCAGAATATCCCCTAACAATGGGAATATTCGGAAATAATCAGCTCAGCAGCAGGGAATGGAGCAGGGGCTTTGCTTTCCCCCTTATCCCAAATCCATCCTTGGCAAGTCCATCCTCATTTTTGATTTCCCTGCCGGCTCAATCAGCGAGCATGTGAAGAATCAAAAAAAAATTGAAATTAAATCTCAAACTCAGCCCACCCTCAGCAGTTCCCCTCCCCTCTCACCTCCCTTTTATTTTATTTTTTTCCTCCCCTGCTCTCCCGAGTTTCCAAGTGTCAGGGAACGGTGATTTATGGCTGAGGAAAATCAACAGCTGCTGCCTCGTCCTTGATTCAAAACAGCCCAAAACAGAGGGGAAATGATGATTTCATTATAATTTAGGAGTTTTTTGTGAGAGCAAAGAAGCAGCGAACTCCAGCCCATTTTCTGTGCCCTGGTGGGAGTGGAAGAACAACATTCCTGAGAGCAGCCTGGAGGAATAAATGCCCTTTGTCCACCTTTGGTACCTGTCGGGGCTGGATGTGGAGCTGGAATCAGCATTTATTCCCAGACAATAATTCAATAATTCCCTTCCTTCCCACCTATCTGCTCCCTTCTTGTTTCTGGACACAAAATAATTCTACAAATGATTGGTAAGTTTAAAGGTTAAAAAAGAGAGTGTTTTATTTGAGTATAATATTCTATATTTATATATTATATTATGTTATGTTGTGTTGTGCTATATTATATTATATTATATTATATTATATTATATTATATTATATTATATTATATCATCATATCATATCATATTGCATTATTATATTATTACATATTCTAGATATATTCTCTATATATTATATTTTATATATTCTATATTTATATATTATATTTATATATTATTTGAGTATAATATTCTATATTTATCTATTGGAGTAAATATTCTATATTTATAGAATTCCAGAGGTGACTGTGGATTGGAGGATGGAATTACTTCTTCTCTTAGCAACACTGGTCAAACTAATAATTTATTAGTTTTCTTTTCTTACAAAGAAGAATGTAAAATGATTATTATTTACATGAACAGTGCGTGAGAACATGTAAAACATTTTTCTTTTGAGTGCCCCAAATATTTGAGTGTTTCAAAACAGAAGGAGCAGCTGGTTGATGGAGCAGGATCCTGTGCTCTGCCCACAAGGATGAAAAAGGAGATTTTTTCCCCCCATTTCTCCCTCACCTCAAACCTCTGCCACGAGTTTTGGGCTCTGGGAGTGTTTTTGGGGCTTCAGGATTGGGGAAATTTTTATCCATCTCCAGCTTTTATTGCCTTTGGGGCTGGGACTCCAAATTTGGCTGCGGGTGTGGAATTGTGGGGTGAAAAAAGCACCACAAGCTTCATTAGAAGGGCACTGAGAATTTGCTTTTCTAGCTCATATTCCCTTCAGTTTTGGAGTGTGTTTTCCTCATTAAAACTAAAAAAAATCCACTTTAATTTCATCATAATCCCTTTATTTGGGCTTAGAGTTATGGAGTTGAGCAGGAAGGAGTCAGGAGCAAAGTGTCCTTCAGATATTTCAGGTGTAGCCTGAAAGTAAAAGAGAAATAAAAGAATATATTCATTTTAAAAAGGCTTTCAGCTATTTTTGGCTCTGCTGTGAGAGGAA